AGCTCATAGTGTCATAAGCATCCTTCAAAATTGACACATCAATCCTCCTGGATGACTCTTTTGGTTTGTTCCTTATTGAGTTTGCCTATACATGAGAATTTATCTAGATGAGTATGTATATGTTCCGGCACTCTTTATAGATAAAGTTCTCTTTGAGCTTACTGCAGATTTATTTATATTTTTAAGTCCAGTAGTGGCAGTATTTATTTGCTTTTTTAACTTGTCACTATGATGTACATTTGCTTATTATCAGTACACATTTACTTATCCAAAAAAAGATAAGTATGTTAATGACCGATGAATAGATTTCTTCACCCTCTCAACACCTGCTTCAAATTTGATTCTTTTTTTCTTTCATTAAACGATACACGGTTGGCAAGTTGAAAAAATGATCAATCCACATATGGTCACATGTTTATTAATAATATTTCATTTTCTTTTGAAAAAATGATGATTCTTGACCTTCCAGTTTTGACACAATCTTGAAGAATTATGGTTGAAGAGATTGACGCACATTTTGCAGGTTGATCATAGTCATTTTGTATGTTAAAATAGTTTGTGGGGAAGCTATTTGCCATGGTTCACCAACATTCTGTTTGGTTAATATTTGGAAGGATATCACATACCACTCCTTGTACATCAAGAATAGTTGTGCTCTGGTCAATGCGTTTTTTTGCTGAGATAGACCAGGCGAATAACTTATTAATAAATGTCCTCTCAAATAGGTTTACTGCTTGTTTCTTGGAATTTTCCCTACAGTGCTATTAAAAGGAAATGAATGGGATTTAAGAATTTCTGTTTTTATTTAACTTATTTTTATTTTTTGTATACTATTGATTATTTTTTATCGATTTATTTTTTTTTTCAACTTACATATTTGGATAAGATTCCTAGTTGTCTTGATAGTTTTTTTTTTGGGTTTGCACCTGTGCTCTATTAAATTCATAAAGAGTTATAGTTGCTCATTTGAAATGAATGACCAATTTTGAATATTTTTTTATTTTGATTTTGACTTTTTTTTTGTGAACCTATTTTTAAAGGAATTTGTTTTCTAATTTTTTAAAATTTATAGGAGTTTAATTTTTTTCAATGGATTCTCAATTTTTCTAATTATAAATTTTTTTACACAACTTTGAAATACAATCGCAATCATAAAAAAAAAAAAAAAAGAAATTTTTATTAATTATTTTTAATCACTATAGATATTTTTGTTAAAATTGATTCAATTCCAATGAAAAAAATTGTTTTATCCAAACATAAGAATGAAATGAACATTTTATTTTAGCACTTAATTTTAAACAACTATCAAACATTGAAATAATAATGCGCATTTCATTCTATTTTTAAACTCATTTTATTCTTACTGAAAAACATAAATACGTACTACGTATAGTATGTATAACATATAATCAAAATGAATGACAGACAATGATCTATTCATATAATTGACACTTAATAATTGAGAGATCATGTTTAATTTAATTTTATTTTCTCTTTCACGTCACTAACAACTTTTCAAAAGTAGGATTTCTATCTTATCTGTTAATCAATTAACTCTGAAGTCCGGCTTTGAAGTCCGAAACTTTGCAATACTTGAGCTATTCTTCTTTTCTTTGGGAAACATTGAAAAACTTATCAAACGGTTCTTCGCATGGTAATAAAAATAAATTATAATTTAGATATTTTGATTTTAAATTTTAATAATTAATTGAGGTCAGAACATGAAAAATTTATTTCTCACAAAAATTTTTGGTGTGAATGACTTATTATAATCGAGATACACATAAACTGACTCGAATATTTATCTTACTTCCGGTCTTATCAAAATGGAATCTTTACTATTCAGTGTATCAAATTTCTTACTCATTTAAACTTTTTGATAAGCATGATAGTTTGTTTGTTAGCCCTACGTGTGAGACCAAGTTCCCCGAGGAACAGTGTAAGAGAAGACCATCTAAAGTTGGTTTATAATTTACATACATGGGGAGTTATTGTGCGCTCATTGCTAATAATTTTTTGGTTAAATGATCAAACCAAGTTGACAACTTGTTGAACTCACAGGGAACATATTGATGAGCACCCAACCATTTGTATTCAAAACATTTGTTTATAAGTATGGTCCATTTTAGGGGTGGAGTCGGAAATTTTTCCTACCGAGAACAACCTAAATCATATGAATATTAAAATTATTAATGTTCACAAAAATATAATTTCATTAATAGAACGTCAATTAAAATAACAATTCATATATTTGAGCGCTACATAAAAAGAGCTAACAAAAAAAGTTTACTATAAATTTATCTATAAGGCCTAATCACCTAACAAAAAATTTTGAACCAAAAAATTTGATTCAATCATATATAATTGAATTTTAACAACCAATCGAAACAAAAAATATAAACTATGACTATTATATTAAAATAAACATTGATATAGAAATTATTTAAGCAATCATAATAATAAAACTATTTAAAACACCAAAACAAAATAATATAATCTAACACATAATGAAGGCATTTAGTCTTTTAAAGGAATATTTTTTGACATTTATAAGTGACTCTTATATTTGTCAAAATATCATAACAACCTATAAATCTTTTAAAAAAAAATTCAGTGCGGGCAAATCTCTAATAAATTTTAAAATTTTTAAAATTATACTTATTCTCCACAAATTTTTAAAATACCAGTGGAGCAGCAGCCCCCACTGATTTCGTAGGGTGCGTAGAAAAATGAAAAGATTGAAAGAGGAAACAATATAGTTTCCATCATTCAAAGAGGAGAATTCTTATTTTCCTCCTTTGTGTTTGGTAAAAGGGGTGAGAAGTAAGAAAGATTGACTTTTTGGTATTTGATGAGACGGAAAAAATATTTTTTTTTTTTTTTAATTTTATTTTATTAAAAAAATATAAACACATATTTTATCAGTATATTTATATATGAAATTAATTTATACATAATATGTAATTGATAACATTGATATATATATATCAAATTGATAAATAGACAAATAACATACATTTTATTAACACACATAATTAATTTTTCCTCTAAATTTTAGAGGGATTGATTTTGGTAAATTGAAAAGAAAATTAATCTATCTACTTTTGCATTCTTCTTCTTTTTTTCTTTCTTATCAATATGGTACTTTATTTGTTCCTGTAGCTTTTCATTTTTTTTATTTTGTCATCATACCAAACGATACATTAGCAAAGAACAGAATAATTAGAAGCAGTTTATCATAATTGGTTCATTATGATTTGATCAATATCGTTTAGTCTGTTAATTATGTAATCATTCCTTAATGTTAATCATTTAGTCTCAGCCTAGCCTTCAGAGACAGAGACTTTGGAACAATAAAACTCAGTATCTTTATGTAGGTCGAAACTTATTTGTTCTTCTTCATTCATTTGTAAATATAAGATTCGGACTTTAAGCAATAAGTGTTCATGATCAAGCGATACGTCATGGGTTGGAGTCAAAATATTAATTTCTCTTAAATATCATAAGGTTAACTATTATTTATTTCTCTTATATTTTATTATTATGTGTAACTCGTGTCTGAAAGTACGATACAACGTAAACCTTATAAAAGTGTGAGATAAGTGAGACGTGATAAGTTTGGAGGAAGAATTCAATGTAAATGATTTCAAGAGGGATTTTTGGTAGCCGTTAAATGAGTCTAGTTGAGATTATTGGATGAATTAATTAAAATCTGTCATATTTCATATTATAGATATACGGGAGCCTTATGCATTTACCACCTTTCCTACAACCATTTTCTGAGAAAACTATTGCTAGCAGCTTCCCACCCCTTTATAATTGAGCATGGAAATACTATCCAAAAAAAATAAAATAAAATGGAACACAAAACTAACTGTGGATACTCATGCAATGTCCAGGGCCGGATTTAGTATGGGGCAGTGGGGGTAGCTGGCCCCACTGGAATTTTTAAAAATTTTGAGACCTAGGTGAATTTTTAAATATTTCAAAAAAAATTTGAATCTAATACCCACTAAAATTTTCATAAATTATAGGCAAGTTAGTGTAATTTTCAAACCGTTAAACATAACTTTGACACCTCAGTCATTTCGCGCCCTTTACTTGTTTAGATTTCTTCGTTTGAACTTTGATCTTTGCAACTCGCCCTTTCATCACAAACCTTCACTTATTTCCTTCTTATGATTTTTTAGAAGTTTTGGTATATTCATTAACAAATAGACTTATTTGGTTGTTAGTGTTGGAGTATTTTGCAACCATTATCTTATCAAAACCACAAGAATAAGACTCCCGAAAAATAAAATAGTTGCTGATATTTGTTGCAGTGTATCACTTTACTTTCAACACAAAAATCAAGCATGAATAGGACAAAAGATATGCTGCCGTGAATCAGTAAATTCCACTCCAAAAAATTGTCTATTACAAATTAAAAATTTAGTATAACAAGACTCAAATACCAGGAAACTAGATTTAAAATTTCAACAAGAAATACACACAAGTAGATTTATGGATTATATTATTGTGGATTTATAGATTATATTTTGATTATGTGTAGTACAATATGTCATTCGTTACGAATTTAATAACGAATTATTAAATTTGAATCTAATTAGACAAATTTATTTTTTAATCAGTTATGAATAAATAAAATTTTTAAGTAATCCCGTTGAAACAAAATCCTGACTCTGCCCTAACAATGTCCCCACCAGCCACTGAATTCATTAATTATCATCAACACAGTACGATGTAGAAGGTTACGATAATTGAAGCTTCTTGTTTAACTTCAACCCCCCCCCCCCCCCCCCCCCCCCCCCCCCCAATAAATTAACTATTTAACAAAGTTCATTAGAGACAAAGGACTTTTCAGAAGTAAGAATTTCCCACTTTCCTGTTATTCAATTTACTCTGAAGTCCGGCTTTCAAGTCCGAAAGCTTTCAATATTTATAGCTATTCTTCTTGTATTTGGGAGGCATCTATAAACTAGTCACCAATATGAAGTTCGGTAAGAATTTAGAGTGAGCGCAGTGAGAGTAAATTGCGTACTAGCAGAGGAGTTCGAAGTTTGCCCTGTCTTCCTTGCACCTCTGATTGTAAGTGTTCTACTTTTACGGATAATTTCAGGCCAATAATTAGAATTTTATTTCTGTTCATAGTTTCAATTAGTTTAGAAATATAAACGTTTCGAAAATATTTTAGAAATATTTTAAAAAGAGAAAAAAATTCATATACCCGTAACCCGGTATCAAAATGCCAGGACAAAATTTTGTTGGGTTGAATAGAGTTGTCATCTGACACCAAACTGATGTGCATTTTCTTTTTCTGGCCATTTTTGCAGGGAAAGTACTGTTTTGAGAATCATTCTGAAGATTACCCAAAATTGAAAAGATGATTAAGACCCTTTTTAGTACTAAAAAAGACTCGAGGAGAACTAGTTTCAATAATAATGAAGAGCAAGAGGAGCAAGTTAGAGAAAAACTTCAGAACTGGAATCCTCCAAAGGTCAAGGCTAATGATGTTTACCACAAGAGCGGAATCTTTGAGTCCAAGTCACACTATGAAATAAAAAAGGTACAGAAAACACTCCCAATCCGGAATGAATATGAAGATTTCCTATTAATCGATAGAAACACAATACAAGAGCATGAGCAACAGTACAATTACCTCCATATTGGATTAATCCAAGTAGCTGTGAAACCTTTGACTACAAAGGGATTAAATAGCTCTGTGCTGGTTTGCCTTCGCGATGGTCGCTGTCTTGACTTCAATGCTTCTCAAATAGCCATGGTCGAGTCATCCCTGTCTAATGGCCCAATATATTTCAATTGTTATCCAAACTTCCCGGTATCTTTAACAGATCGTTGGATCCTTGATGTTTTTAGCCTCAACATAAAAACTCACGGATTCGAGAGAGATGGGAGTTCAGAAGATATTGTCATTGTTTACAAAGTTTGTTACAAACTAGTGACCACAGTTATGATTGACATGAAGGCAAAATTCAGTCACTCGAATGGCAAAACACCATTTATTCAGACAAATCTTCTCAGAAACAATGTTGCAGTCTCAAACACTACTGAATGGGCGTCGGTGGAAATCCCAGAAAGATGGAGAGTTATAAATGAAGCCCACCGAAGACCACAACCAAGTCCAAATATTTGATGAGATCATAAAAAGATGGGTACTTGGAGACTTAGCCCGGCAATGAGCTTGGAAAGAGTTTGATCTGGATTAGATGACCCTATCCAAATTCTAGTTCAAGCATGTCATTTATGCTATGCCCTGGATCATATTTGTGCGAGTTTATTGAGCTTTTTTCACTTATAGCGCCCTGCGCTCTGCTTTGCTGTATGCTGTATAGAAGAGGACCCTTGTCTTGAGACTAGAGAGTGAAAAGCAAGAGAGGCCTGGCTTATAGCTTCTAAGGCTTCATCTGAATTTGAAATGTCATGAGTTTCCGATTTATGAAGTTTTAAAAATGTCAAAATGTTCTGTGGAATACAAGCCAATTTCAATGTTTTCCGATTTATTGGAATTGATCAGGATGAACCTAATATATTCCTTGCATCAGAGAGATGAATTCTGAATCAGTAACAGAATATTAGCAATAACAACTAATCTTGAATACAATTTTGAATGAACCGAATCCGGAATATTTTATTCCAACCGATGACTCAAAATATTAGTGGATGCCAATAGTCCAGTCTGGTTTGCGTTCTGACATTTCTAAGAGCTAAGCATCAAACACAAAATCAATTGGTAATGAGGGGAGTGACTCGCAAAAGCACGTGTACTAGTTTATGAGGCACTACTATATTGGTGTGAGACAAGCTAAAACAGAAGCAGGAGATGGCAGATGTCGTGTATTCCCAAAAGAAAGAAAGAAAGAAACACTAAATTACTAGGGATACTCACAAGAAGTGCCCTTCATCCACTGATTACATGAATTATATATCAGCAAGACATGGTAAATGCAACAAGGTACACTGATTAAGTTTCTTGATTACCTAACCCCACATGAATCAATCATCTGTCAAAGTTTGATGATTGCTGTTCAATGCCCCTGTGAAAATTTGATCAAAAGATGCTTTTTTTTTTTATCTGCAGCAAACTCCATTGCTTGGAATCTTAGACGAACAACTTTTCAAAAGCAGGATTTCCCCCCTGTCTGCTTTTCAATGGACTCTCCATATCCAGCTTTGAAGTCCAATTTTTTTCAAAAAAAGTAAACTTCAAGCTCAACGAGATTATAACTATATTAAGAGTTCTGTTGGCTTTTTGTGCTTTCCCGCTAGTCCGTTTTATCGATCAATTATGTACTCGTTGCACAAGTACTCGTATTGCTGGAAATGTATAATATAAAATAAGATAAATTTTAATAAACTCATCTGACGGCCTTAAATAGATTTATACAATGACCACTAACTTCCCTCTCAAAATTATTCACATTGAATCCTTACACCTCCCCCATCCAAAAAAAAATTCATCTCTTCTCACTAACCTCATGACATTATTAGATTTACGTTACGTCGTACCTTCAGACACGAGTTATCCCTAGTAACATATATTTTAATACATATAATTAACTTTTCGTCCACTTTTCCTCTAAATTTAGAGGAATTGATTTTGATGAGTTGAAAGGAAAGATAATCATCCATTCTTTTTATTTTCCTTCCTTAACAAATATAATGTTTTATCCATTTCTCCAACTTTTTCTTTCTATTTCCTTTAATCCTTATAAAAAAAAAAAATTTCATCCTTATATTTTTTTTTGCCGTATCAAACGAAACATTAGGAAATAACAGAATAATTAGAAGCAGTTTAGCATTCAGAATGTTTTAGGATTGAAAATTGTTTCATTATGATTTGATCAAATATCTTTTAGTCTGTTAATTAAGTAATACTGATCTTTAATACTACAAAGAGATATGTTTCTCAGCCTTCTGAGACAGAGACTTTGGAACAATAAAACTCAGTATCTTTATATAAGTTGAAACTTATTTGTTCTTGTTCGTTCATCACACCAACATGGACTTCAATTTTACAAGCCTGGAGTGGAATAAATATTTATTCTTATAGTAGCTATTTTCCTTGTAAATATAAGATTTGAACTTTGAGCAATGAGTGCTTATCAGCAAGCAATACGTTATGGGTTAGAGTCCAAATATTAATTTCTCTAAAATACCGGAAGGTTAACTATTTATTTATTTCTCCTATATTTCATTACAGGCGGGAGCCTTGTGCATTTACCACCTTTTCTACAACCATTTTCTGAGAAAACTATTACTAAAAGCTTCTCCACCCTTTTATAATTGAGCATGGACATCCTATATTTCCCAAAAAAAAAAAAAATGAAACACAAAACTAACTGTGTATACTCATGCAATGTTCCCTCCAGCCACTGTGTTGATGATAAAGTATTGGACTAATCTCAACTTATACTCTGAAAGATTACTTAAATCTCAATTTTTATCTTCAAAGTTTAAAAATATCAATTTATACCTTGAAAAATATAAATTTGTATCAATGTGCACCTGAAACTAACTCTATTTATTTTTCTTTTAAAAAAGTTTGGGTTAGTTATAAATTATACCATCCAAGTTTAAATATTTTATAATTATGATCCAAAAAGAATTTCATCAATTAATGCTCGTTAAATAACTCTCAATTGTATTGTATTATATTATATCATATTCATGTCGTGTTCGAGTCAATAAAAAATATTATACAAAATTTTTAAAAAATTATAAAATACCTATTTTTTGTCAACAATACTCGTTAAATAACTATATTCTGTCTACAATTACACACAAATCTTTTGGTTGTCCGATCAAATTAAAGTTGGATACAAATAACACAACTGTAGACAAAAAATAGTTATTTAACAAATATTATGGACAAAAATTTGTATCTTTTAATTTTTGAAAATATTAAATAGTATTGTATGAGTTGTCGTAAATGTAAAATATAAGACACAATGCAATTAACTGGACACGGAAATATTTTTTGTTAAATTTTTTTTTATTGATTCAAACACGACGCGGAAATGTTTTAACACGATACAATTGAGAGCTATTTAACGAATATTAATGGATGAAATTTTTTTTGGATCATAAATATAAAATATTTAAACTTTGAGGAGTACAATTTATAATTAATCTAAACTTTTTTATGATACACATTTATATCTTTCAGAGTATAAATTAATAATTTAAAATTTTGAAGATACAAATTAAAATTCAAATAACGTTTCAACGTAGAAGATGAGATTCGTCCATTACCTATTTATCAAAGTTCATTAGAGACAAAAAGACTAGGGGTGCAACTGGGCGGGTTGGACAATCAACCTTAGCTCAATCTCAGGTATATAATATCAAACTCTAACCCTAACCCTAACCCTAACCTTAACCCCAACCCTACCTCGGATTGGAGAACTCAACCCGAGCACTGTCTAAGTTTAATTTGGGCGGGCTTGAGTTGAATTCGGGTTGATAATTTTGGTCTGATTTCGAGTTACTTTACGGGTTCAATTCGAGTAGAGCCTAAAATAGGCTTGTTGTTCTAAATCTAATATATATATTACATAATATTTACCTAAATTAACAACTAATAACGTTAACCAAGTTTTTAACGAGAGAGGCTGAGAGAACGAGAGAGAGAGACAAAGAGAACGATAAAACAAATATAAAAAAATCAGTGTTAATGCATATATATATATAATTTTTTTTTAATTTGTCGGGTTCAGGTTGAACTCGAGTTCACGAGACCTCAACCCAAGTCCAACCCAAATTGAATTCGGGTTAAATTTTTGACCCAACTTCAACACAATTATTAAAAATCTTTGCCCAAGCTCTAATTTTTTTGGTCCCACGTCGGGTTGAAATCGATTTACCAAACCAAGTTGCACCCAAAGGACTTTTCAGAAGTAAGAATTTCCCACTTACCTGTTATTCAATTTACTCTGAAGTCCGGCTTTCAAGTCCGAAAGCTTTCAATATTTATAGCTATTCTTCTTGTATTTGGGAGGCATCTAAAAACTAGTGATCAATATGAAGTTTGGTAAGAATTTAGAGTGAGTGCAGTGAGGGTAAGTTGCTTACTAGCAGAAGTGTTCGAAGTTTGCCCTGTCTTCCTTACACCTCTGATTGTAAGTGTTCTACTTTTACGGATAATTTCAGGCCAATAATTAGAATTTTGTTTCGGTTAACAGTTTCAGTTAGTTTAGAAATATAAATGTTTTGAAAATATTTCACAAATATTTTGGAAAGAGAGAAGAAAATTCATAGACCCGATGTCAAAATGCCGGGACGAAATTTTGTTGGGCTGAGTAGAGTTGTCATCCGGCACCAAAACTGATGTGCTTTTTCTTTTTATGGCCATTTTTGCAGGGAAATTACTGTTTTGAGAATCATTCTGAAGATTACCCAAAATTGAAAAGATGATTAAGACCCTTTTTAGAAGTAAAAAAGACTCAAGGAGAACTAGTTTCAATACTAATGATGAGCAAGAGGAGCAAGTTAGAGAAAAACTTCAGAACTGGAATCCTCCAAAGGTCAAGGCTAATGATGTTTACTACAAAAATGGGATCTTTGAGTTCAAGTAACACTATGCAATAAAAAAGGTACAGAAAACACTTTCAATCCGAAATGAATATGAAGATTTCCAATTAATCGATAAAAACACAATGCAAGAGCATAAGCAAAAGTACAGGTATCTCCATATTGGATTAATCCAAGTAGCTGTGAAACCTTTGACTACAAAGGGATTAAATAGCTCTGTCCTGGTTTGCCTTCGCGATGGTGGCTTTCTTGACTTCAATCCTTCTCGAACAGCCATGGTCGAGTCATCCCTGTCTGATGGCCCAATATATTTCAATTGTTATCCAAACTACCCGGTATCTTTAACAGATCGTTGGATCCTTGATGTTTTTAGCCTCCACATAAAAACTCATGGATTCGAGAGGGATGGGAGTTCAGAAGATATTGTCATTGTTTACAAAGTTTATTTCAAACTAGTGACCACAATTATGATTGACATGAAGGCAAAATTCCGTCTCTCGACTGGCAGAACACCATTTATTCAGACAAATCTTCTCAGAAACAATGTTGCAGTCTCAAACACTACTAAATGGGAGTCAGTGGAAGTCCCACAAAGATGGAGAGTTATAAATGAAGCCCACCAAAGACCACAACCAAGTCCAAGTATTTATGAGATCATAGAACGATGGGGACTTGGATACTTAGCCCAGCAATGAGCTTGGAAAGAGTTTGATCTGGATTAGATGACCCTATCCAAATTTTAGTTCAAGCATGTCATTTATGCTATGCCCTGAATCATATTTGTGTGAGTTTATTGAGCTTTCTTCACTTATAGCGCCTTGCGCTCTGCTTTGCTGCATGCTGTATAGAAGGGCTGTTGTGATCGTGCAGCAATTATGGTGAATAGTAAGGAATCAAACAATTAAGAAAGCAAGAGAAAATAACACACAAA